AAAAAAGGCACACTGCAAGGCTGACCCACGTGGGAAGTTCCTGGCTTTGCATCTAGATGCCTCCCGGTGTCCACGGAGGACCCGTGTGGCCCTGATCTGGGGCTGGCTGCGGCTGGCGCGGATGACAGCATTAGACCCTGATGGGGTCACTGTCTTTCTGTCTCCGTCTGTGTGTCTTTCTCAGTTGTGCAAAATAGAAATAAACGTTCAAATAAAGTAAAATGTTTTTTTAAAAGATATTTGCTATAGAGTGTGTGCACTTGCTGGAGAGAGACAGACAGAGACAGAGAGACAGAAAGTGAGAAACCACCCCCAGGGCGGATGGCCACGCCGCAATCCCTCCTCCTCCATCCTCCTGGGATTTTGGGCACGTAGCACATGTACCCGGCATGATTTTCAAGCTGCCCCGTCCAGGACTTGAACCATGGTCAGCCATGTGAGAGTCCAGCGCGTTAACCACCATGCCACCTGCTGTCCCCAGTAAGAATTTCTTGAAAGAAATGCCTTGGACCAGCAAGTGGCTTGGAGAGTAGGGAGGCTGGAATCCATGTGGCCGACTACACAGTTCAAGTCCCGGACCAGGTAGCTTATAAATTATACCTGGCAGGACCAGCAGTTGGCGTAATGGCCATGTCACTGGACTCCCATGTAGTCAACCGTGGTTCGAGTCCCAGACCTGGCGGTTTAAACTCACACTGGGCGCGTGTGCATGCGTGCCCAAGATCCCGAGAGGAGAAGGGATTGAGACGTGGCCATCCCCCCTAGGGGGGTGATTTCTCGCTTTCTGTCTCTCTGTCTCTCATGCACCCTATAGCAAAAACCTCTCAAAAAAGAAAGAAAGAGAGAGAAAGAAATTTACACCTGGCATGTGTGCGTGCATACCCAAAATCCTGGGAGAAGGGAGGAGAAGGGGTTGCTTGTGACCATCCTCCCAGGGGCTGATTTCTCACTTTCTCTCTCACTGTGTCTAGAACTGGAGCGCATGAGCCCTGTGGCAAAAACCTTCTAAAAGGAAAAAATAAAATAAAAAGAGAGTCTCTTGACCAGGGCTGGAGGCTGCTCTTTGTCCTGTGCTCAAACTAGACGGGGTGGGACCAGCTGCTGGGCTGCCAGGGACCTGAGGGTTTCCGGAGTCCTGGTCACCTGAGGACATGGTGGAGCCTCTCCTGTGTGGTGAGCCTGTGGCCTGGGGGACAGGCACGCACTCTCCTCCTTAGGGAGAGGCCAGTGGAGGAGGTGGTACTCCCTGAGAGGAAAGCCAGGTTGGGGCCAGGCCCTGCCTGGGAGTGTGTGACTTCAGGGCAGCTTTAACCATTAAAGGCCAGGAATGTGTGACCAGGCCAGCTGTCCAAGGGGCTTGACGTTGACGGAAGAATGGAATTGAAATACAGGGGCCAGCAGGTGGCGTGGTGGTTAAGATGCTGGACTCTCACACGGCCGACTGTGGTTCGAATCCCAGACCTGCTGGCTTGAAACTCCTGCCAGACCCATGTGTACACACGCATGCGCGCGCACACCCAAAATCCCGAGAGGAGAATGGAGAGGAGGGGGATTGCAGCATCCCCCCCAGGGGCTGACTTCTCAGTTTCTTTCTCTCTGTCTCTGCCAAGCACATGCACCCTATAGCAAACAGATCTGTCTCTAAAAAAAAAAAA